CACACACGCGGCGGTTCGGGAGGCGGCGGCGGCAGCAGCGGCAGGCGCCGCCGGGACGGGCACGGGCGCGCGGCTCGGGCGGGCGCTGGCTGCCTTCCCCCGTCGCTCGTTCGCTCTCCCTCCTGCTTGCTCTCCGACTGGGGGCCGGGCTGCCCCCAGCGCTCTTGGGAAGGAAGAAGGGGGGGCTGAGGACGCCGACAAGTTCCCGTAGCAGCCGCAGATTCCGGCCCAGGCGAAGGCTGCGGTTCCGACGGGGCAGGAGCGCGCTCCGCCGCGGAGCGCACGGCCAGAGTGTACCAGACGGGGGGCGCCCGGGCCTTTCGCTCTCCTTGGGGCCGCGGGCCGGGATCCCATGAGACGCGCCCGTGAGGGGCGAGAGATCCGAAGCCGGGGAGGCGCGCGGCAGAGGCGGAGGGCGGTGCTGCAGCTGCTGGAGGCCAGGATCCGCCGGCAGGAGGCGGCGGAGAGAACTTGAACTTGGCGTCGGGAGCGGGCGCCCCGGACGCCCCCCGCCGGGGCCGGGGCGCCGAGGGACCTGGGCCGCAGCGCTGCTCTCCGAATGGCCGCGGCGGCGGACCGGGCTCCCGCGCCGCGGCCCTAGGCGGCCTCTCGCCATGGCCAAGTGGCTGAACAAGTACTTCAGCTTGGGCAACAGCAAGACCAAGAGCCCCCCGCAGCCGCCGAGGCCGGACTACCGCGAGCAGCGGCGCCGGGGCGAGCGGCCCTCGCAGCCCCCCCAGGCCGTGCCGCCAGCCCCCGCGGGCGCCTCGGCGTCCTGCGGTCCGGCCGCCGCCTCCTGCTTCTCGACCTCGTCGGGATCGCTGCCCGACGACAGCGGCAGCACGAGCGACCTCATCCGCGCCTACCGCGCACAGAAGGAGCGCGACTTTGAGGACCCCTACAACGGGCCTGGCTCTTCGCTGCGCAAACTGCGCGCCATGTGCCGCCTGGACTACTGCGGCGGCGGCGGGGAGCCGGGCGGGGGCCAGCGCGCCTTCTCAGCCTCGTCCGCGTCGGGCGCCGCAGGCTGCTGCTGTGCCTCCTCCGGCGCAGGCGCCGCCGCGTCCTCGTCTTCGTCCTCCGGCTCCCCGCACCTCTACCGCAGCAGCAGCGAGCGGCGGCCCGCCACCCCGGCCGAGGTGCGCTACATCTCCCCGAAGCACCGCCTCATCAAGGTGGAGAGCGCCGCGGGCGGTGCCGGAGACCTCCCGGGGGGTGCCTGCTCTGGCGGCCGCACCTGGAGTCCGACGGCCTGCGGTGGCAAGAAACTGCTCAACAAGTGTGCCGCCTCGGCCGCGGAGGAGAGCGGGGCCGGTAAAAAGGACAAGGTAAGGCGTCCCTTGGTCTCATCCCTGGTTCCTGAGACACGGTGCGCGTGGGGAAACTGAGGCAACGCTCTGGTTCCTACATCAGCTTGGGGCTAGGACCCTGAGGTCAGGGATCCCACGCTGCTTCCCAGTTCTGCCCCCTCGCACGCGCTTAATCCTGGATCCTCGGCTTCCTGACACAGTCTCTTTAGCTGCTGTTCCTAGAACGTCCCCTCTCTGGGCCCACAGCCAGGTGCCCCCTTCGGAAGTAGTCTGACGGGAGCATCCTACCAACCTAGACCAAGAAAGACAGCCAGCCCTTCCATCCCCCGAGGACTGAAGTCTGAAAGTCAGAGCTGGCACGGATTTAGAAGAGCATTTATTCTTCTTTACCCCGTCCCCCCATTCTGTGGATGGGAAACTGAGGTCCAGAGCTGGGAAGGGACTCGCCCGATATTACACAGCACTCTTGGTGGCAGATCCGGACCGGCTGTCTTTAAACGTGCATCTGTAAATTCCTCTAAAAGCCCTGCCCTGCCCCACCCCTCGCGCCAGGTTGCCAAATCCGAGCGGCCTTTTGTACTGGAGCTGCACCGGGAACCCCCACGCGTGCTTTTCCGGTTGAAATGTGCTGCCTCCAGGATCTCTCCACTTCGACCAGTCTGTTGCTCCCGCCGTGCACAGAAGGGGGTCCGGTCAGTCAATCCTTCCGGCTGGAAGGAGACTCACCCCTCCACTCCTCACCTCTTCCTTATCCCACCCCCTACTGTACCGGGAATGTAGGGGATGAGTTTATGACAACCCCCCTCCCACCACACACACACATATTAGGCCATTTTGATCCCTCTCTTTGAAGCAGACCAGTTACAGCCAAACTGGGCCCCCACTCCTCCTCCTTCACACTCCTGTGACACCCTCCCTTCCCCATAAAATAATACTTGTTCTGCCTACTTATGGTGGAAGGCAGTGTTTTGATTATATCTGAGGCCCAGTGCCCTGCGATGTCTGTCAGGCTGACGTCCCTCTTGTTTTCCTCATCACCCCCACATTTTCCCAAAGGTAAACTTTTGCCCAGGCGTGGGCTGGGGAAGACTGATAGAGAGTCTGAGTTCCTTTTAGGACTGGATGTCCAGACAGAAGGGAGACAGGCTCCTACCTGCCAGCTGGTGCTTGGAAAGGGATCTTTTTGTTTTCCAAGCGGGAGGACTAAAGGGATCCCCCTCTTTTAATTTCTCTGCTTGGCTTCTCTCTTAGGCCCCAGGTCCTGAGAGTCTCCCCTCTCATCTGGGTCTGCTAAACGGTGGGCAGTCAGTGGAGGATCCCACCTACCTCTGGGACCAGTTAGGGGGCACACTTCTGAAGCATGAACTCTGGGCTTCCTACAAGAAGCTGGGAGCCAGGTGGTTCCCCCAAGTGCTGCCTTGGAGGAGGGGGAGGTTTCTCTGGGAGCCTCCAGGATCAAAGGCTTAAGGCTGATCTGTGAGGGAAACACCAAAGAGGCTCTCTGCTGCCTTATGTATGGCTCAGGCTTGGCTAGGTGCTGGCTTGGGAGACTCTGAAGTTCCCGGGTATTATGGTTGGTTTGAGCAAGGCCCCACCAGTGAAGGTAGAGAGATTCCCAGTTAATGGTGCTGACCTTCTGTGTCCCCTGTGTTATTCCATGACCACCTCCTAGGCGGGCAAATCCTTCTCTCTCACTGCTTGTGGTTCTGCTGCTTGCTAAAGTTTTCTTTAATGGCTTTCAAAACTTTAGTAGGCATTTTCTTTCCTAATTACAATTAAGACTATTTCAAATACTGAGGGAGGGATAATGTGTTTTATAGCTGGAATGTCAAATGTGTTTAAGAGTTGGCTTCGTTCACCATCATGTTATTTTATGGGTCTTTTCTGTGCCCTCCTCTATTGGGTGCTGGAGCAGCCCCCCTTGAATTTTATGGCCCAGGCTGCAGTGCTAACGATGAGTTCTGTGATGGGAGTGCTGTTACAGCAGTGGGTGAAGTGGAGGTGGTCAGGGAGGGCCATTGTGGGGGAGGGGTGGTGACGATGGCTGGCTGCCGAGAGCTTGGCACTTTAGGGGATGCCTTTGTGGCTGGTATCGAGAGGTTAGAGTTGTGCAGGACCCCAGAGGGGCATCAGGACCCAGGTTAGGAAGGACCTTGTAAGCTAAGCACAGTGAGGACCAGTGAAGGGATTTAGCTGCTAAGGGAGGTTAGATTATTTTTTTTTATCTCTCTTCACTGCATTTCACCTTACTAGGTTGTGACTTTGAGACCTTTGGTCTTTTAAGAAATTGTTCTGATCCAGAGACAGGAATCACAGCTACCAGATGTTCTTTTTAACCAGGAAGAGGGGAGGCAGCCACAGAGGGCCACACTACACAGTGGTTCTCAAACCAGAACTTGCAGTGCTCTCTAAAACACTGATTCATCAAGCCTGCTGTGGGTCCTGAGAATGTGCATTTCTAACAGGTTCCCAGGTGATCTTTGCTGCTGATCCTGGTATCACACTTTTGAAGACCACTGATGTAAAGTGGCTTCTCCTTAATGCTCCCCCTGGATCTTCTGATTGGAACTGTTTTGGGATGCAGAGACTCTAGATCCCCTCATCTCTGCCCTCTGTGTGGGGTTGTCTCCTCATCTGGGGCCACCACCCATTCCTGGTCAGGCAGTCAGATCGCAGCCTGGTTTTGGCATTATTTTCAGCCAGACAGCTTTTGGAAGCCCGGGCATACTATAGATCACCCCTGAACACCTCGGAGACTTCCTTCTGCCTCTCACACATGGATCCAGGAAAACCCACTTCTGGTACCCCATTTAATCTCAGGCCCAGCTTCCTTCTATCAGTTGTTGGGGATAGGACAAGAACCCATAAGGCTGTTGAATGCCTCCCCACCCCCCACCCTGTCTGCCAGGCTCTATGTTTGTTTTTAACATCAGGCCTCAGTTGGGAGTTAACTGTGGTGTGAAGTAGAAGCTGTTGGTCCACAGATCCTCCTTTTCGGTGCCTCCTGTGCCACCTCCCACCATAGGGGTTCCACCTCTTGCCTCCCTCAGTACCAGAGCCTCTCTGTATCACACACTTAGGCGTCGTTTTATTCTCCCAGTGAGTTCTGTAGTGCACGTGCACGCGCACACACACACACACACACCAAGCATCCAGTCTTGGGTTTTTTCCCTTTTAGAATCATGTGGAAGAGGGGAAGGAGTGACAGCTACAGAAGACTTGTCAGTAATTTCTAGCATAAGTCTCTAGAGGAGATTGTCATACACTGTCTTCATCATTTGTTTCCCCGGGGTTTGTCTTGGGGAATTTCTTGAGGTCTTTACCTAGGAGGCAGCTTTGAGCTGGATCTAGAGATGGAACTGGGATTTTCTGTGCAGGGGAAGAGGTGACTGCATCCTGCATCACTTCTGTGTCAGTGCTGTGTATACGTGTGTGTAAGTTTGCATATGTAAATGTGTGTGAGTATATGTGTGTACCTGTTCATAGAGAATCTCAGCATGGAGTATGTTCCTGAAAACCAAAGCTTTCTTGCAGTGGGCCTCCCTTAGTGAATGGGAGATGACGTCAAGTAGGCGGGAAGCTGAGTTTGGACCCCACAGGGAGTCCTTGAAACTGGTGAGCCAGGAAAGGGACAGACTCAGAACTATGATTGAGCTGTCACAGTGGGGGATGGGGGTGGGGTGGGAGAGAATGGGATCAGAGTTGAGGGACAGTTATAGTCCAGGTAAGAGGCTGAGAGAACCTGAGCTCCCCGGAAAAGAAAATGAAACTTTAATAGATAGAAATATTATTCCTTCAGGTTGTCTTTATTAAAAACTAACAATGACAAAAGAAGCCAGTAACTTGGTGGATCTCCCTTTGTGCAGCCAAACAGGTCTCATCCCGTATGTTTTCTGCTGAAGTCTTGTTTCTTTTATCATAATTAAGTAAATGTTTCCACCACAACTGAGAAAGTCAAGATACATGATGACATCAGTTTCCCAAGTTTTAAATACATGCTAATGTGTACCAACACTTTATATTTTGTCAGCATCCACAGGGTTGAGTTAAATAACACGTTTCTAAAGAATAATATGTCTAACCGTTTTTTTGTTTGTTTGTTTGTTTTTGTTTTTAAGATTCAGCAAACAGTTTCTGAATGGCCTGCTAGACAAGGGATATTCAGAGAATAAATGGTGGTCAGCTTTCCAAGAAGGAAGCTTCTCAGTTTGCAATTGAATACCAGCTTTGCAGAGGTCTAGTCTGGGAGACAAATACAGCTAGAGAGACCTGAGGAATGCCAAGACAGAAGTGTGTGCAAGGGACTGGTAGGGCCTCGAGTTATGGGAAGTCAAAGAGAGCTTTCAGGAGGAGGAGGAGGTGATATTTGAGCTGACTCTGGAAGGATGAGTGGGAATTTCCTAGGCCAGGAACTGGGGAGGAGGGCTGTCCATGCAGAAGGGACAGGGCAGCTTGTGCCAGGGTCTGAAGGCTTGGGAAAGAATGGTTAGAGGCTCAGCAGGGCAGGTATTATGGGGGATTGCAGAGGGGGTTAGAGCCACAAAGGGAAGAGGGTCTTTCATGTCCCTTGCTGGGGAGTTGCAACTTGTTTTTTGGGGCTTTTTCACACGAAATCATTGATGTGTGGCTTGACTGAAGCCAGAGTCAAACATAAGTTGTCAGTTTCCATTTTGGTTAACAAAAGGTAAGAGCCAAAGTTAGTGTCTGTGGTTTGGCTTGGGATATTCTTTTCTTTTTAATTTTTTTTTTAGTGTTTATTTTTTATTTTATTTTTGAGAGAGAGAGATTGAGTGTGAGCAGGGGAGTGCAGAGAGAGGGAGACACAGAATCTGAAGCAGGCTCCAGGCTTTGAATTGTCAGCCCAGAGCCCGACGTGGGGCTCAAACTCGAGAACCTGCAAGATCATGACCTGAGCCCAAGTTGATCGCTTAACCGACTGAGCCACCCACGTATCCTGAGATACTCTTTTCTTTGAAGTCCTGTCCCTTGAAAGTAGTGTGAGAGAGATGTTGCATATC